ATGCCATTATTCATTCACTCTCACATTCACACACTGGTGGAGGCAAGCTACGATTGTAGCCACAGCTGCCCTGTGGCAGACTGACAGAAGCGCCATCGGCCCCTCTAGCCAACACCAGTAGGCGGTAGGGTAGAGTGTCTTGCCCAAGGACACAACGACCAGGACAGAGAGCCCGGGGATCGGGCGACCTTTCCTGTTACAGATACGCTTCCCAAGCCCCTGCCAAAGTTAAGGCAGCAGCATTTAATTATTTTGCATTATATTTATTCATTATTATCTGCTCCACTCACCACTGTCTGCTCTAGCTTTTTTCTCCTCTTCCTCTTTTTCACTCACAGAACTTTAAATCCTCTGATTTTTCACTCATCGGTTTTTGTTGTTGTCTTTTGGTTTGTTTAAACAGGATCATGCACATCACAAAACGTGAGTGACTGGAGTCAGGTGGGGGCCTCATAGGGAGTCAAGGTCTCTCCTACTGTCACTGCAAACTTAGACCACCACCCACCAATCAACAACTTTACAGATATTGATGAATGGATTTTGTTACAGTTTTTGTTGTAAGCTAGGCTACAACAAAGCTAGATTTTCATCTGAGTCTGCAAAAAAAAAAAAAAAGACAAGGATGCATTTCACTATAAGATCAGATCACCAAAGAGGACTTTGGTAATAATGTGCTTCATAAAAGTGATGCTGAAGCTTTTTGAGTGTATCTGGAAGCTTAGAAATTTGTCTGATTATGAATCGAACCAGGTGCAGGTGTCATTATGGTTGCCTTTAGGGTTATGAGCTTTAGGAAAAGTAAATGAGTGTCCTGATATGAAAACACATGCATGTATATGATTATTCATGTGATTGGATATAAACATACATACATGCATAAATCAGTATTTTAGTGTGAGTCTTCTGCAGAAAATGATCAATCCTCAGACGTGATGGAAATCTGTGTGTGTGTGTGTGCTGTATTGCATAACAGGCAGTCAAACACACTCTTCATTCGTGCCAGTCTGATAAGTGCCAACATCAGCAAACCGTTGGACAGGAAATTGTCACATGTCATCGAATTTATATTTCTTTAAAATTCGATCCCCAAATAGAGAAACCACGGGACATCACACTCACTACTTCCTCTTTCTGAAAAAATTTAGGTAAAAGAAAAAGTTAGTGCCACATGTGACTTATGAGATTAGCTGGTGACAAAAATTCTAAACATAGGATTTTGTCACAAGATTTACAGTTTTATTCTTTAGCTTATGTGTACTGTTCAAGAATGCTGGCAAGTTTTGGCTTGCACAGTGTGCGGCTGTCAGGTTGGATGAGGAAGCTTCTCAACTGAACAGGTGTGACATTTGTTTGTGACTTCTGAAATCTGAAGTTTGGCATTTTGCCTGCCACCAGGATGTTTTTAAGAACCATCAGTCACGAGTCAGGGGGTGGATCTGACTGTTGATATGGCGGCAACTTCTCAATAACAAGTGAGCTTGAACCTAAAGCACAATCTGCTTTATTTTCCACTGTGCTGTAAAAAAAATGATGATCATGTTGTAGTAAATAAGACTTAAAACTATCGACTGAAGCCGTAACCAATCAGGAAAGTATCTACTGAGTTCGTAAATCAAGTGAGCATCAGGGTAATGTTGTCATAGACTCCTGCACAGTTGAAACAGCTTCACTTTTTCACACCAAGAGGCCAAATCTTTGTTATTGCATGCGAGGGAGTCAAAATTGAAGTGAATGAGAGTACCTATGACTGAATGTGAAGGTTCACTGGTATGAATGAATCAATGACCATGTGTCCTTTGGCAAACGGACAAACACAGACCTAGTTAATGTTTAAAAGTTAAAGAACAGGTGTTTTTAACTCTTTCCCCCATAAAGATGACATCTGACAACATTCCCCCGCCCACCCTTAATGATGAATTTTCACACTTCAGTATAAATCACTAAAGATAAAAGATTTCAGTTTCTGGGATTTTCCAAGGCTAGCTGCAGAGGCAGAGATCGCCCTCACTAAATTCTGATGCAGACCCAGACTTTTTTTTATAAGCAAGCCTGAAACATGACCGAAACTGCTCAGTTCAGAAAACAGCTTCAAGAGTTACTCCTATCAGGCTTTAAAGAGTTCGAAAGATGCTAAAACTCTCTAAATAACAATCTGTTTACTGACAACAAAGCATTCATATATGCATAATTGATGCTAATCATTTTTAGTTTAACTCGGTGGACATATCTGAACACCAAGAAAACCCTTCCACACACATGATCGATGATGTAGTTGATGCATAAAAATGCAGTTACCGAAAGTTTATAGGACGGTAAAGAATCTTCTAATTTCATTTTTTAAATTCCTTTTAAGACCACAACCACATTCTTCAGATAAACATTCAACAATAAAGAGAGGGAGCTGTGGATTTTGTCCCAATCAATAATACTGATATAGACTTGGACACAGATATCTTGGCCTCATATCTTAAAAGCCAGAACGATAACAGCAGGAAGAGCAAAGTAGCAATAGTCGCCCTTTTTGTTTGTGACAACAGGAAATGGGTGTTGTTTTAAGACAGACTTGCAAAATTAGGAAACTATTCTTTAAGCACACATACATTCACACACCGTCACTTTATTAGTTACACTATGCTAGTACCTTTTGCCTACAGAACTACCTTAATTCTTTGTGGTACAAGGTGCTGGAATCCCTGCTCAGAGATTTTGGTTCATATTTACATAACATCATCACACAGTTGCAGCAGAATTGTCTGCTGCACATCCACGATGCACTCCTACATAGAACCACATCTGAAAAATGCTCTTTTGGATAAGATTTGGTGGCTTTATAGGCCATTTGAGTACAGTGAATTTCTTAAATGGTGAGTTATCCTGCTGGATCCCTTTATGACCACAGTGTACCCATCTTCTGATGCGAACACTGTGGTCATAAAGGGATGGACATGGTCAGCAATAGCGTTCAGGTGTTTAAACAATGCTTACTTGGTAGTCCAAATGTTGCAGCAGAAATTGATAGTCATCAGACCAGGCAATGTTTTTCCAATCTACTATAGGTACTATTCAGTTTTGTTGAGCTTCAGTTTTCTGTTCTTAGGTGAAAGGAGTGGTACCTGTTGTGATCTTCTGCTCCTGCTTCAAGGTTCTGCATAACTTGCTTTATAACCACTGTTTATTTGCATTACTGTTACCCTCCAATCACATCACATCAGAATGACCGTTCACCTCTGACCTCTGACATCAACAAAGTGCTAATGGTTTGTTTGTGCTCTGGCACAAGCAACCACGCAACCTCCAAAGGCACTGACGTCACATAAGTCTGACCACATCTTTAGATTAGGTCAACTTTAAAAATCGTTACATTTAAAACAATGAGTGTAGTTGCATGTGATTCTACTAATTAGCTCTTACTCTTTGTATTTGCTGTATGCGCCTAAAAAATACAAGAGGCGTCAGTGTGTTTTTTTAAGCTGTAATCTATTACAGTGTCACTGCTGCTCGGTGCAGTGTCTGCACAGCCAGACCCGTATGATGTTGATGCTCTGTTTGTGTGCACACAAAACTGCAGGCAGGCCTGTCCTCATTAGAAAACAGCTTCGAGTCTATTTTTAGTCCGCAGCTTTGTCTGAAGTCTTTGTAAGAGGGGATGTACACTTACGTGATATTGTGATCTCCTGCAGCGATCCCATTGTCCATTAAATCCACACATTGTTCGTCCTGTAACATGAAAGCAGCCCGGAGAAAGGACTCGGGAGGATTCTGCGCTCTCACACACCCTCTTAGTATATGAGTACTAGCTGGTTTGCTGCTCCCAGCTCTGGTCTTTGCTCAGGTCTAAATCCTCTACAAAAAATAATTTCTTAAAAAGAATCCAATATTTTAATTAGAAAAACTTTAAATACTTATTAAAACTTGCATTTGCTCGTCTTCACTAAATTCGATTCCTTGTACTATTCATCTGTCTCATGATGAACTAATAGCTATGTTTGATATACGCTAGCTCATGAAGTGTGCCTATGGTCCTTTTGCGCCACCGTGTGACCATAGAAAAAAACGTAACAATATTGTGTTCCTCAGGATTATAGGATATAGGATTACATGTAAATAAGAATAAAGCCTCACTGGTTTGCATGAGATCCATCAAAAGTGTGGGAAAACTGGATAAATGAATACATAAATTAAGAATAAAAACAAAAACAACAAATCATTTCTTGTGTTTTTGATACTGACATGTTTACTTCTTCTTGAACGACCTACTTTCACTTAAGAAAACGAGTCAGATAATTGCCTGAAACCACATTTGATCATTTCCCCTCTATCTCTAACTATAGCTGAGTACTTCTTCCACTGACATACATTGTAATGTACTGTGATGCTGAAACATCCTCTTGGTGTTTATGTGTCCTTTTCTTCCCCGTTCTCCAGCTGTTTCCGGCTCCATAGCTGAATGTTTTTACTGGTCAATATTTTTGTTTGTGTGTAGTTGTTTACTTCTTTTATCATTCTCACTCTAACTCCAATTCTCTGGTCCTCTCAGTGAATAGTTATTGAAAGGGATTTCTTCCCCTCCCTCCATCACTAGTACTACATTGGTGTGATACTGTGATACATTCTTTGTGTTTTGTTTTACATTTTTTATATTGACGCTGAAATTTTCAAACAGACTAGAAATCTGATCAAAGGTGATGCTGTGCCTCAATTCACAACAAAGATCAACAGAGCAGTGAGAGGAGAAAAAGGTGCATTAATGGTTGGATTAAAGTTGCGTTTGCTTTCAACAAAAAATATAATCATCATCAACAACAACAAGAAAAAGAACAAACACAAATTAAAATGTGTTATCTTCATTCAAACACCTGAGCAGTTTACGCTGAAGTGCGATTCACTTTTCAGGCAGGTGTTTCTTTTTTAGTCATTAGGCTCTGATTGGTTAAGACTGCTTTCTGGCAGCATTTATAAGCCTTCACCTCAGACAACTTTATTGCTGGTAGCTTTCAGAATGATGACAGCAGATTACTTCTTTGGGTATGTGACAAGTGTATTTTAATTTCTGATCTTCTGGCCTATTATAGCTACTTAATGATCTTTTACAAATCTTTTAGGGGTTCAGTCCTTGTCTTGCTGATTGTGCATATATGCAGCCTACCTCTTGAGAAAGGTAGGTGAAACTTTTCCATATATACAAACTGTATTGCTTAACTTCTATTAATGTTTCCTTCTCCCTCAGGCTATTATCCAGGCACTCCTTACCGGAGAGGTAACACAAACACTGCAGGTAATGTTGCCCCACATTAACTGGGGGTACTGTTCAGCCTGCAGCTTATAACCAGTGAAATATTTCACGAGTTTAAATGTGCATTGCTCCCATTACAAAAAGGCATTCTGCTTTCTCCTAGGTTCAAATGTTGGTGCTTCCCCCGGTAGCAGTAACACAAACTCTGCAGGTAATGTTGCCTTGACTCGGGGAGGACCTTATGCATACCCATCCTCTGTGGTTGTACCTTATAATGCTCAATATGGAGGGGTTGCAGTGCAGCAGCCTGGTGTCTCTCAATATGCTGGTGGTAATGTTGCCCTAAGCCAGGGAGGACCTTATCCATACCCCTCCTCTGTAGCTGTGCCTTATCGTGCTCACAGTGGAGGTGTAGCAGTGCAGCAGCCTGGTTTCTCACATGCTGCTCAAAGTGTGGCAGCACCATACACCGGCTCCAGTTACTCCGCTCCTGCTCAGGCAGGAGGAAGCACAGCTGGCTCTGCACAAACTGGGGCAACTTCTCAACCTGCAGCTGGTACCTAGTGTGATGATGCAGTATAAATGCAATCATTAGGATCTCCTGACCCAAATCCTTGGTAACTTTGGCTTAAATTTTGCTTTCCTTAGAAATCAACTGGGCTGTCCCACCTCCCAAGCTCGGTGAGGAATCATCACCCAACCCTCAAAGCCTTGCCTCTGGCACAGCTGATGAGCCTGGTGCTCTTCTACCACCAGTACCTGCATACCAACCAGGAGAGTTGTCCCACTATGAGAAGGCTGCTGAGGCTGGGGACTACCAGTCGGAGACAGAAGAACTAGGTCGCAGGACTGTCCCAGCTACGATGGAGGCTTTTGCTGCTGCGGGTGGACTGGCATCCCCAGGCTTTGCCACAGGACAGTTTGGAATGGGTGGACTGTGGGGTAGTCCGTATCCATCTTTTGACTTCTTGTTCCTGACTGGCCAGTACCCTGTGGGCACAGTCAGTCACTTCAGCCAGGACTACGAGCAGGGACGAGACTACTCTCACAGCACTCACTACCTGAAAGACCACTACTACCCCTACCCCGGCTTTGCACAGTCAGTGGGGACTGTTGGAGCAGCTCAGAGCCTTCAGACTCCCAGCTTGTATGTGAGCAGTCCAGTGGTGGGAGGTTATTACCAGGTTGGAGCACAAACAGTACCTGCGTCTTCCTACACAGGTGTTAAGCAGGTATGTTTCCTAATGTCTAAATTTTACCACAACTGCATGTTGTAATTGTACTTACACTTCCCTCTTGTCTTTCAGATAAAATACTAGCTGAATCCAATCAGCTTACTGAACTGGGCAAAACGATGAACTGGTTAATGCTGCAATAGGAATGACTCCATGTGATACAATAAACTTGGTTTTCAGTGTTTTGAAACGGTGACTTCAGTCTCCTCTGTAGTGAATGGTAATGAAGCTTTACACACACCCACCCTTCCTTGCTACTCCAGCAAGGCTCTAGTGCCTGTTCACATGTCTGTGGCTAAATGCCAATTTCTGTAGTCAGCCTTGGATACTTAATGGTTCAGTGGTCTATATTTTCGGTCTCTGATACAAAAAGCAAGACCCTAGTGGAAAGCCCCAAGGATTTCCAAACTTGGGCAGACTCACACAAATTTTTAAAACCCTGATCAACTAATTGGCATGATAAAGACAAGCTAATAATTCTAGGTATCTAATTTCCCACAGAAATTAAAGCACTTTACATAACTAAGACATGTGTCATGTTGGGGGTCGGACTACACTGAATTCATTTTACTAGTTTGCCATACCAGTAGTTCCTTTTCCGGTCTTAAAGTGAGGAAATGTAAAATTTGTGGCATGTGACTGGCTTGCAAGTTTCAGATTCTGTTGGCATAAAAACAAACATGAACATTTGTATTGCATAATGTTCCTGCATCTGAGTTATAAGGTGGTGTCAATGTTTATATTATGCTGCCCCCAAGTGGCCAATAAATCAAGTTTTAATAACTCTCCTCTACACAAACTTGTCGCACAGATGAATGCTGTGATTTCTGTAACCAGCATGTCAAATGAACATGCAACAGTTTGTCGTCAATGATTTGCAGACACTTTCGCACAGGTCTTAACAGCATTTATAAATCCACAATCCTTTCTACTCTCTCGACTTGATGTCCTCAGCTCCATGTGAAAGACTAACAGCAGCTGTGCATTACAGCTCCACTTTTCCCATTAACCACCATTTATGAACTGCAGGCCACATAAGACCAAAACAAAGAGGAAGACTCTTTTGCTGATTTCTAGTTCCATCTTTATTTGTGGATTACTAGAGTAGCTTTGCATGATGCAGTTTAAAATAATCCTTATTTTTATTATAGTGGTCTTGGCGCACCTCTCAAGTTCATTTCCTGTCTGCAACAAGAAATTTCAGTTCCCTTCCCCCTCCCTTGAAATTAATTTCCTTTGGACCGGCTGCCTCTAGCATGCAAAAGCTTTGAACAGCGTTTGGGTGGGGCTTCTTCTGAACTCACAGCCATAGACGTGTGCCATGAGATGGCCATATCAATGATATCAGTTGTCATTGAGATAATATGGAAATGAGCAACAACAAAAAACAGTTTGAACACTGGCTCATAGAGATGACTTTCACACATAGTGCCCTCAATATTTGAAACTTTGTAAATATTAAATATGATTATTCACCACTGTAACTGTAAATGAATGATTTATTTTATTGGCACATAGACAGACTCTTTATTTTTAAGATTTGTGTTAAAGCTCACCTTTTCAGCTCCACCAAGGCAGTTGTTTGCCTTGTCAGGTATCTCGGGCTCTGGAGGTGTATGTTTTTGATTTGTGGTATTTGTAGGGTTTGTTATTTGTTTGTTTACTTGTTTCTCACTTAAGTCCAAACCCCAGTCTTCTTTGTGTATCGTGTGTTGTCTGGCTTTTTCTTTGCTCTTCATTGCTGCGTCTCACTGTTCTGTAGCATCCTAGCTAGTCGTAGCAGGCGTCTATTTCTCTTGGATGTGTATTCCTGTTAAAAGGACGTTTGTCCTCCCTACTTTTGCCAAGTATTTTACCACATGGGATGATATGATCCCTGAGGTTATTGCTCTCATATTGTAGGGCTTACCTTACAAAGACTACCATGAGTCACTTGTTGTGAACTGCTGCTTCTGTCTGTATGCTGTTCGGAGTGAGCCAACAGCAAATGTAGGGTCTGGTTTTGGAGCTGTTCATATATTAACTGAACTAAATTATTATCAATATTATCAATTATTAAGAGATCTTCCCTTTTTCCCCATCCCCATGTGCTGCTCAAGAGCAGGGGTCGGTTAACCTTATTCTATTTCACCTATATTTTCATGTGAAAGTACTTTGTAACTGTAGTTGGTCTTAATCTGTTCTGAGGTACTATATTCTGCACTTGTGGCATGTGATGGTTTTTATAAGGGTCACTATGTTATAAAAAATATATAGTAATTCATTTTAAGCAGTTTCATTGTTTATTGTTATTGTGAACAACAGCTGTACATTATTGAGATTTAAGCTCTGTTTATGAGAGATGGTTTTAGGACCTACATGAGACAAATTATTTTATTTCCCATTAAAGTGAATTTTAATTAAACTTCATTTTTATTGCACATTTCTTCCTAACAAATGTATAATGTCGCTGAAATGTCCAAAAAGCTAGAAGTCTAATAAGGGTTGTATTGGCTCAGTGTTCGCACAACTCACAGAAAAGGTCAACAGAACAGTGAGAAATGAACTGGATGCACTGATGATTAGCGTAAAACTGCTTAGATTTCCACAAAATTGGAATCATCTATCCAAATAACAAAAACAAATGCAAACGAACTCTTGTTATTTTTCAGAATTCGACGTCTACACCATCTGAGATTGTTGTAGGGTATTCAGCAGCTCCTCGCACCTAACAGGTGTAACTATGAAGTGAGAATAATGACTCTGCAAGCAGATCGATCTCAAAGCTTTACATGTCACAGACGTGGCTCTGTTTTTACCTGGGAAATCACTGCGGTAACTTATACTGAACGCTTAACCTGGTTGAGCCAGGTCATGTAGACAGTTTCCATCTAAAAGTGTTATGTTTCCACTGATTCCTTTATTTACAGCATGTTTAAGTGCCCTAAAGACCGTCTGTTGGCTAAATATGTTTTATATGTGCACACTGTTAAGCTGTACCTTTAGTACCTTACTAACACCATAAATAAAACCCAGCTGTAGTGACATGTGATGCACAAAATGTATAAATGTTTTTATACTTATACTTTATCCTATACATTTCTGCCACATGAATCACTTGTCTTATTTGCATCAGTGTTGCATTTTAAATCTTTATTTTTCATACTATTTCTAGATTTTACCATCATTTTATTTTCATCATCTGATAATGTCTCTGATTGGACTCACTGTCTTCATATAGAAATTGTTGATTGTTGAAGCCCAGTTGATAGCCACTGTTATGATACTCGTTATCTTCGACTCAAGCGTGAGTCACCTTTCCAGCAGGTGTATTCCATTACTTCTTTAAGCTCTGATTGGTTAAGACTGCTTTCTCGCAGCATTTTTAACCCTTCACCTTGGGCAATTGTTCTACTGGTTGCCTTCAGAATGATGACTGCAAGCCTCTCACTTGGGTATGTGGCAGGTGTAGTTGGCTTTTTTACAACTGATTACTTTTTGTAGGCACGTGATTCATATTTTCAAATGGTTTCAGGGGTTCCCTTTTTGTCTTGCTGGTTGTGGATATATGCAGCCTTCCTCTTGAGAAAGGTAGGTGAAACATTCCTAAACATACAAAACTTTGTGATAAATCTTCATTAATTTCAGGTCTTTCTCACCCAGGCTCCAATCCCAGCACTCAATACAGGATAACTAATGTGAAAACTGCAGATAATCTTGCCTCAAACCCAAGAGGAACTTCAGCCAACTTAACTCCTGGACTTGTTCCCTACAGCCCTCAATACAGAGGGGTTCTAGTCCCAGCATATGTCAGCTCCAGTGTTTCTCAACCTACTCAGGCCGGTGGATACACAGCTGGCTCTACATTAACTGGGGGTACTGTTCAGCCTGCAGCTTATAACCAGTGAAATATTTCATGAGTTTAAATGTGCATTGCTCCCATTACAAAAAGGCATTCTGCTTTCTCCTAGGTTCAAATGTTGGTGCTTCCCCCGGTAGCAGTAACACAAAC